TTAAAAGGGGCTGTGGATATGACTAAGTGATTGAACACCCCTATTTTCAAACATCAGTACCAAAAATAGGGGAAAAAACACATATATAAATGTAAGAGTTTAACAATTATATCTAGTTGATCTGTATGACTATTTTTACACCAGAACAGAATCTTTAGTACTGTAAGTCTGCAGTACATTTTAAAATTGATGTTTGAGCACTATGAATTTGTCAACCTTTTGTGCAAAATTGATTGTTATTTAAATATTATATGCTAAACTTGTCAATTTCTGCCAAAAATCAGATGGTAATGTAATTTGTTTCTATAATTTAATATGAGACATATTTGCCACTTGATGATAATGTCATCCATGCTATAAACTTGGTATATCTTTCTATTTCTTTGATTATTCTTTAATTTATCTAAAAAGATTCTTTTGTTTAGAGTATAAATTTGCACATCTTTTATTAACATTATCCTGAACAGTTTGTTATTTTTAACATAGTGATAGGTAGAATTTTTTTTTCTACATAGGGGATTGAATCTAGCGCCTCACCCATGCTACAAGTTACCACGGAACTATTCTTCCAATTCAGGAATTCTTTTTGTAATTGTTTAGTCCATTCATTGCCAGAACATAGACATACACTTGAGTTTTATATATTGATTTTTTATTCTGAAAATATACCAAACTCATAATTAGTTGTAGTATATCTAAGTTGTTGAGAAGTTCAGGGTGTTCTCTTTTTATTTCATTCCATTGATGTGGCTTTCTAAATAGTAGTACTGTACTTGCAGTGCTGTGGCACCAATTGTAACATGCCCAAACCCAAGTCCATATGGATGATTCCAACATTTTAGAAACATGAGAATGATTTATTTAAAATCAACACACATTATAGACTGTAAGCATTAAGGTGAAATTTTTAAAAGATAAGAGAAATATGTAAAGAAAAAAATCACAAGAGAAATTTCAGAACACTTAGGTATGAAAATGAAATGCAGCATGATATCTACTGACTTACTGTCATTTTGATTGGTACTACATTGACTTTGTAGATCAAGATGTAAAATACTGACATCTTAACAACATTGAATTTTCCTATTTAAGAACGTGCATTAACTCTCCATTTGCTTAGTTTTTCTTAGATTTTTCAAGTAAAAATTTACATCAGTGTTATGATTAGTTCATTAAATTTATACCATAGAAGGACTACCCCCACCCACCAGCAGACACCCACAGGAGCTCAGGCCCAGCCATGATCTGCCTCCACCAACCTGTAGGGGAGCCCAGGCCCAGTGTAGACCTTGGTTCCACCCCCACTACCACCACTGCCTGAGAGCCCAAGTCTAAACCACTTCCATCTTGAGACACTGCAG